CTTCTATAAATCGAAAGGAGACTGCGACCATAACAGAGGCCACAACATCTTGGTCTTCATATATTTAATTCTTTTGTTTTTAATAGACACCTAATTCTTTCTCCATTATTCTAGCTTAAATTAAATCTTTATAAAATCAAGGAAATCACCCAATATCTTTACTTCATTGTCAGACAACGTCGTAATCCTTTAACCAACAATTTAGAGGATAAACATCATTTTTATATTTGGCGACCATAGAATTGAATAAAAAGGTTTGAACTACGCTTGAAATCAAATTAAGCTTTTCCTCAGTTATGTCTCTATTTGTGACATTTCCAACCATGATATTAACAGAGTTGACGCTTACGTGAAATTTCACATATTCTTGCTTTTCCCAAAGGTCTTCATTCAAATTGGACTGAAATTTCGACTTCGCCTAGGTCTTAGGAACACCCTAAGCGGGACTCGATCCATAAAAGTGCAACGTATAATCTCGACACGTTAACCACTATGTCACATTGCCACGAGTACTTTTGGGTGCTTAACGTGTAGATATTACACTGTGCACTGTCATAGTTCGAGTCCCACTAGGCGTGTTGATAAGACCTAGACGATATTGATTTTGCAGTCTATCCTGGATGAGAGCACCTTTTATTGAAGCAGAACTGTGAAATTCCATAGGTTCATTAGCTCTATTCATTTTATTATGGGAAATTTCAATTACCACAATTTTTCACCTTAAACGAAATGGGGTGAATACATTTCTTATAACTGATTTACTGGTTATCTCGAAATCTTACTTATAAATGAAATATTTAAATATGAGTTTCACAAGATTCGGCATTTATTTATTTATTCGTTCTACTTCATTTCGTAGTCCACAGACTATATTTATTTATATCTATTAATACGCTTGCATACAATCAACAAAAACTATATACTCTCGCATTTATTTAGTCCCTGACATGTTTGACAGTTGAGGCCTGCGTGTTAGATGAACAAGGCCGACCCTTTGTGATCAATGTCGATGTACCTAGGGAGGCCACCGTCTCAGAAACTCTGACTCGAATCCTACAGCGTCAATCAGAGTTGGTTATGCCTACTGGTCAACGTGGTCATCGGCCTGAATCAAGCGACGGAGTTATCGTTGGCTCTAGTGGAGTCTCTAGCTATACTACTGGTTCTAGTCGGCAGCCGACGCCTATAAAGCTGAGTGGCTATCTACTCAAAGTATGCTGTAGCGTGGCCTATCTTTATGATGCCGAAGCACGCTTGCTTGATTACGAGTATATCCAGGCCTGTCTCAGCCAGTATGGCTGCATGCCCCGACTTAGTCCGGTGCTTCGCCGTGATGTTCTTGCCAGTTTAAAGCCTTCATTGCATCGGCTTATGCAACCACGATCACTGACCCCTGTTTCTCCACGTCAACAACGTAGTCATAACCAGTTTGACATTGCTCGCTGTCCTCACCTGGTTAGCGAGGATCATTCCTCTACAACGAAGTTGGCTCACACTGCTAGTGGTGACGGAGATGCTGTTTCCCTTGATTGGCTGGAACCTGAGGAGTGCATCGATGATTGGATTGATCATGAAGACAGTGATGATGAGAAAGATCATGAGGAAAAGGTGTCACATTAATAAATTTGTTGTATTTTTGTACTATTTTAGTATTCTTGCGACAACCTATTTCATACTTCTTGAAATGTTCCCATTCCCCTTGCATCTATATTTCTAATGAACGTAGGGTTAAGAAACACAAACATCCACAACCATTTTTATAGGAGCGCCTTTTATTGAAATGAATGCTTGATTCAATTTCAAAACCAACGATTATGTTTATTGTTAGAGCTATTGCCTCAATTTCGCAAGTTAGTTTTGATACCCTTTTCTTACGTATACTGATACTAATAAATATGTATTTATTTCTATGATAGTTTGCCCCTTTGGTAATATAATTATAATTTGCACAGGATATGATCTAGTTAATAATTGATAAATCCTATGGATTGAATACAAATTCAAACTTATCTTGCTATAGTCTCTTAACCTAGGCCTTAATCAGTTAGCCCTTAGATATAGAAATAGTTCTTATTGTCTTGTGCGAGCATTCCTAACTACTGGGACATGAACGCAATTTTATTTGTTACTTTAAACCAGATGAGTTTGAAAAACGCAGTATATGTTTGGCAAGTGAAAGAGCATTTTTCATTGAAGGTGCGCTCTGCAACGCTATTTACGGACTCCGTTCGTGCTGCCTACTCAACTCTATCAGAACGCGAGGACCCTTCACTCACGTGAGAAAGGCCAATGTCTTTTTCAAAATATGTTAACTTTTTTAGCTTTACAGAATTTCTCTTACTAATAATTTTTTTGACATCTCTAGACTCTCTATTTAGTTCCATTTTAAAAATGAGTAAGCACGTAAGAGCCAACCTTAATTTTTGATCAAATTTTCTTGAATACTGTGATTTTTTTAAATTAAGAAGGCTAGCCCTAATTGTCGTTAAATACGTGAAAAAGGCCAAGAAACTCTTGGTTTTAAGATTTTGAAAGTCGCCAAAATAAATTTTGAATTTATTGCAATTCTCACCAATATTACTCTCGAATCTAAAGCTCTTTATATGGATTGAAGCCTAGTTTCGATGGATCCTCTTTTGTTTATAAATGGGTAGTGAACTTGGTCGAACTTACGAGCAGACATTGGGTACTCTCTGGCTTGTCATCGTTTAAATAACTTGGAACTTGTAGGCTCGCACTGTTTCTGGGGCACCATTCTTCGCTTCCAGCCAAACCTTGCTGAGCCTGCGTCTATCGCATAGTAGACAATGTAAAAGATGGACATTATTATAATATAAATTC